ATTCTCAAAGTAGAAGGGGGTAGGTAATACAGATTTAAAGATTTAAAATTACTGAATTTAGTTAAAATTATAGCATCACATTTCCAAGAAAAAAAGTTTCTTCATTTTTGCACATAGTGAACTATTATATTACATGACTGCTCTGCAAACTCTTTCCTCTTCATGTTTTAGTTTTTATTGTTATATTCATTTGTTTGTAAATAATTTTTTACAATGTGCAATCTTTTATTAATCTTGTTATGTATTCATTTCAGCAATATTTCTCTAAAATTCAGTCTATATCTTTCACATTTCAATATTTATCTACAATTAATTTGCTATATAATTATTTTCAATAAAGTTAATGAGTTTAAAAAAACCTATAGTTTTGATAAAAACTCCTCAGCCCAAGGTGAAAGCATATGACATGCTATTTATAAAATATGAAATTCATCACCCATTTACTTTATATGATTTACCAACCTCCAGACTGACCCTGTCATTTATTTTCTATTCAAAAAGTTTTTAATTTTTTTTTTATTTAGCAGTCTATAGGATCTCACTACACAGCTTGGACTCATAGTGAGTCTCCTGTTTTCAGCCTCCCAAAAGCTGGGATTACAGGCACACACCACCACACCCAGTCTCAGTCACTGTCTCAGCGTGCCCCTGGGGTGGGGCTGACACAGCATGCAGGGGATCAACCTGGTCCCTGTGTCTGCCTAAACAGGCACTTTAATCCACTGATCTATCTGGCCAGCCCTGTAATTTATTTTCATGTAAAAATTTTGGCTTATTTGGAAGCATTCTATTTTTGCCCTAATGCAAAATTAAAGAATTTATGACTTGCAACTTAGTAACAATCCCATCTTTTATTATGAAGCCTGATAAGGGTAAAAGAAGCTACACATGCTTGTTTAATAGATCCTCATCTCTAATTATGGGAAGCACAGGAGGAAAAATGTCCTTTTGATTTTCTAAATACTGTTTTTAGCTCAATAAACACAAGACTTATAAACTATGCTGGGCATACCAGCAGTACATGAGATGTCAACTGGTGCATGGATAGACAATAGATACACATTTGTTTCTATGAAATACTGAACACTTTTGAATTTGGGGATCAAAAAGCCAAGAAGAGTAAGAGTGCAACTTTGTTACACGAACTCCAACCCCAGGTATGAAGTCAGGAGTGCTCACAGTGCGAGAGAGCCAGGAGGCATTACAGGCATCTAATACCAAGTGATGTAGAATGAGTATCTGTTTAATGATAGAAAGCATCAAGAAAACTAATGGCAAGTGTGGCATTTGTTTCTTCTTACTATTCTGAATGTCAAAGTCTAAAACTTCAGGGTTGGCAAGATAGCTCAGCGTGCTAAGTGCCTGCTTAGGCAAGTGCAGGGACCAGGGTTCAATCCCTGGTACTGAATGCTGTGCTGGCTCTGCCCCCAGGAGTGCTGAGCCAGTAACCCAGTCCAGGAGTGGTGGCGCATGCCTATAATCCCAAAGCTGGGGAGGCTGAAATCAGGATCACTACAAGTCCAAATTATATAGTAAAACCCTGTACCAAATACACACACACAAATACCAAAACTTCAGTGAAATAAGCCTAAGTATGACCTTTTAAATCATTCATTATTTATTTGGTATAGGGTCTCACTACGCAGCTCAGACTCAGTGATACTCCTAAACCCCTCCAGTGCTGGAATTACTGGTATACACCACCACGCCCAGTTTTGGTGGCCAGCATGAGACGTGCCCAGGGTTCCAGGGCTGCACAGCATGTGTGGTACTGGGGATCAAACCTGGTTCCTTGCATTTGTCATTCAGGCACTTAGACAGTAGAGCTATCTCCCCAGCCTGTAAGTATGACTTTTGATAAGCAAAAGGCTCTACTGATAATTTTTTTAAAGAATACAAAATAATTTTTTTTAAAAAGTATTAGAAATGTTATAAAATTTCATTAAACAAATAGGAATTCAACAATGGTTACTGTATTACATGATGTATTGATAACTTAATGAAGAGAAGCTATTCTTTATTCTTTGATTCAACATAAGTACTATCATTCTTGGGAAAGATTTTCACAAAAGTATCTTAATAAATTGTCCACACTGATTATTTCTAATTATTTGTATATTAAATGTTAATATTTTAATTTTGAACTTAATGTTAAATTAAAATCTGCAAGCTATACATGTAAAATGATTTATAGTGGTATATCCTTTACAAAGTTTATATATAAAGTTAATATGAGTCTTAAAAATATGAAATAGTACAAAAAATTTAAATATTTGACCTTTGAAAATTACTCTGATAAGGCCCAATCAAATTAGTGACTATAGCCCTCCAGAGGCAGAGGCAGAAGAACTGCTGAGGCAGCCTGTCAGAGGCCAGCCTAGACTACATAGTGAGTTAAAGGCCAACCTGAACTACACAGTGAGACCCTGTCTCAATAACCAAAATTTAATGATTATAAAGACTCAGTTTCAAAAACATAATAAAAATCTAACCTATACCTAAAAATTTTATTCTTAATTTTACAGTTAATCCACAGCGAGACAAAGTCACACGTATGTATATAAATGTTATATTGCTTACTTTTATGCTATTGAATTTTCATTATGAGAAACAATGTCTAACAGGACACCCTATGTTTACTTCACAGGTTACTACTCCACTGTGTATCCAAGCTGGCCCATATATTCACGTAACAGATACACATCTCTCTTTCTTATTGTTAATCCACCAATTATACTACTGTCTGTTATAATTACCCTTTGGATAAAACATAAATACCCTAATTTAGTTCTTTTGGAGTAATACAATGGAGAACTTATTAACCCATTTATACCCAAGACTGAAATTTTTTAAATTTTTGCATGAAATTCATTACTAGGAAGAATTTAAACAAGAATTTGAAAACATTTCATTATGTTCCATTGTTATGGGCATTCTAAAAACAGATTTCTAGGCACTGAAGGATTAATACGTGGCTTTTAAGAAAAACATCTGGCTGTACTTTTAATTTCTAATTTAAAATGTGTAAGAATAAAATATGTTGCTGCAGTAAAGCCTTACTTAAAAGAAAAATTCTTCAAATGCCCAGCTCTCCAGGACAAGCTCGTCTTTCCCTTCCACTTTTCTTTGAAGCATCATTGTTTTTAGGTTGCCACCGGTGGATTTCAGAAGTGAACTAGCTTGTGTCTTACCTTCCCCACCCAGAAAGCAAGCTAGACACAGGTGGGGTGGGGGACGGGGGGACAGGACAGGCCCACAGCACCCTTGCTGCAGCGGGTCACTGAAAGCTCTTAAAGGCTTGCTATCACTGATACAGGTGACTAACTCTGGTGTCTTCACTTGAATTCAGCTCCAATTCTTAGGCTCCTGACTTCTCCTGTTTTCTTGTAATTTGATGTATTACTGCTAACTGCTTACCTTAACTGAGACTAGAATTATAACAAAGAGATTTCAACAGCCTTGATTTTCAGCTTATGAGTTGTTTATCTTGTAATGAAATACAACATAGTAAGAAGGGATAAGCCAAAATTGTCACTTCTCACTAAGAGGAGAAAGAAAGCACTGAAAATATTTGCATTTATTTTCCTTAAAATCAACTAGCAGGATATCATTAAAGACTAACTGAGACCTTCAGACATTCTTTGGATCTAATGCATAATTACAGTAATCACATTCACACCTATATAAAAATTCAAAATGAGAAAGTTACTCTTAAAATCATGTGTCAGTAAAACCTGCCTGGAACTTGTTATACAATATACATGACATATATTGTAACACAAAATTTCTTGTAACACAAAATTTCTCATAACACACATGAAAAACAGAATAATTTATATTTATAAAAAGTACTATTGTTTTATGAACAAAACTCAGAAAAAGTGACCAGAGTATGATAGGGCAACTAATGCCCTGGTTTCTCAAAATCCTTCACAAAAGGAGGTAAGAGTCATAAATTAGGAGTTCAAGGTTTGGTTTTTAAATGTCATTTTTTCTTCTTTTTCTTTTCATCTGCTTCCAGCTTGAGCTTAACTTCTTCAGCTGTAAGAGCTCCAAGTTTCTTATTCTTTGCTTTCTTAACCTTTTCTTTAATGGCAGCCACATCGATTTTAGTTTCAGTGGAAGCTAAAAAAGTCAAAAACAATTTTTAGAAAAAGAAACAAAGAGTACGTGTTGAGTAGGGCACAGGGGCACATGTCTATAATCACAGCTATGAAAGAGGCTGAGGCAGGACGACCACGAGCACAGAGCCAGGCTGGGCCACGCATCCAGGCCCCACACGAAAAATCAAGTTTAACAGAGTAATTCAGAGTACTAGTTTAATCAGTGAGAGGTTATACAATGTAAAACATTTGCCTAAAGACATGTTAGAAATTTCTTCAAACTAAAAGAAAATGAATCAAAAAGTAAAATACTTCACATATGCCTTAGTGTATATAAAAGAACTCATGAAACCAGCTTGACAGTTTAGCAATATCAAAGCTGTACTTTCTCAAATATTAATCAAAGATTTTTATTTATATTTTATTCTATATTTTAGAACTTCAGAATGTAGCTTGGTCTGCTAATTTTTCATCTTACACACTAAAATAACAAAATTATATTTGATGGAAGATACAGCTTTTCTTAATTTCACTAATTTTAATGAGATAATCATGAAACTATACATTAAAATCTACTGCATCTAAGACCATAACAAAAACTTCACTCAATGCCTAAAATATAGACCAAAAAAAAAAAAAAAAAAAAGCAAAACAAAAAATA